AACATCTTTGTTGGTATGTGGTGCTGAGGATCGAACCCGGGCCGCACGCATGCTAGGCGAGCGCGCTACCGCTTGAGCCACATCCCCAGCCCTAGGAATATTTTTAAATGATTTTTTAGTTATAGGAGGTCACAATGACTATTTTTTTCATGCAGTGCTGAGGATCAAACCTAGTGCCTCCCCAATGCTAAGCAAGAGCCCTACCACTGATGCATAACCCTACCCCAATTTAGGAATTTTTAAAATGTTATTTCTTCTATTTTCCAGTCTGGTCTTCTTTTTCCTTTCCTTTGGAGGTTTCAGTGACAAACATTTTTTGTTCACAGGTCCCCTGGGACCTGTTCCCTTTTTCCACTCTACTTTTTCACTATTGTCCATATTGAGGGATGTTTTTTCTGTGTTCTAAAGTTTTGTTTTGTTTTGTTTTGTTGTTGTTGGACAGAATGCCTTTATTTTATTTGTTTTTACTTTTATGTGGTTTTAAAGATTGAAACTAGTGTCTCACACATGCTAGGCAAACATTCTGCCACTAAGCCACAACCCTAGCCCCAGTAATTCTTAACATAAGTTATTTATAAGTGGTTTTATATGTTTGATTGTCTTTCAATTCTAACATACAGAAATGGTTAAATTTTTTTAAAAATAGTTGTGTTAATTGTGATATAATCTTGATTATATCTTTTGGGGAAGGGTGGCTTGCTTGCTTTCTTTTTTTTTTTTTTTTTTTTTTTCAGTTGGTGGTCAGTTATGTGAAAGCCAGAAAAGGATTCAGAGACTGGGGATCTGTATTAAGCTTATTGACTGTGCCCACCACATTCACGTGTTTGGAGGGTGCCTGAGCCCTACTGCACCTTTGCTCTTCCCTAAACATTGGGGATACAGCAGCAAGATACAGACTTGAGAACTACTCTGGTCCGTAATCCATTCTGATTGAGGGGGAATAAAATTACCAGCACCTCAGCTGCTGTTATGTACAAGGTAGAAAGGGAGGAAGGAATACAAAATTATTAAACAAAGTCCTCAGGGTCAGTCTCCCTGCTTGAGTGACATTTGAGCAAAGTCCTCAGGACCTCCAGAATCTTGGGGAAGTGGCTTTTGAGTGGAGCATGCAGTCTTCCTGGCCTCAGTTTCCCTGTACATAAAACAGTGTGCTGAAGTAGAAACCATGGATCTGAGAGCTTCACGTGGACTGCTCTTACAGTGACACAAGTCCTTATTGGGAACTTCACCTAGAAACCATGTGGGTGGAAGTCAGCAGGAGAGGGGAAGCCACATGTAGTTTTTAGGTTGTCAGCCTGGGGGTAATAAAGTAGGGACAAGAAAAGGACACTGCCTGATGACTGCCTTAAATACTCTCTTACAGACTCATGGAGAGATTTCTCATGAATGGATTGTATCCTTCAAGTCTGGAGATGCCCCTTGTTCCTGCGACTCTTCCCACTCTGATGCATCTCCACCTCCTCCACCAGGGAAGAGTGGTGGGCAAATGAATGCCTGGCTTTTTCTCATTGCCTGCTCACTGGGTAACCTGCATGCCCTCACATGATAGGTGCACTCGGGTTTGGAACTTGCTCATATTTGGCTTTATTTTGTATTAGGAAGGCAGTAAGAATGGCTGACAACACCTGATATGGATCAAATGCTTGGGTTCAGATCCTTCTTGGGCAATTCCCTTAACCTCTGACCTGAGAGATCAGGCCCCATAATAAGGAATGAACTTTGTAGTATATAAGCTTCTGTCTTCCCCCACTTCCCATGAATTGTTGCATTGTTTATTTTGGAATGAGGCCCTCCCTGTAACGCCCAGGTGAGGCCACTCAGAACCAAGAGTGAGAAAACCTCCAGAGCCTGTTGCTCCCTGACCTGGCACTGTGTAGCTGAAGGCAGTTGCTCTGGAATCTTAGTTTTTGGTCCACCTCATAGCCAGTGCTACTCTCCACCCAGCCTAACTGCTGGCTCTGCAAGTTACAACATCCAGCATCTTTGTGCTTCAGGAGGCAAACTTCAATTTATAAACAGCTTATCAGCTGTCTGATTTGTGGGCACTTTTTTCCATGGAACAGCCATGTTGCTGCCTAGGGCTAGGGTTTCCTTTCTGGGCTACAAGGGTTCTGTCCATGCAGAAGGCATCCACAGTTGCATTTTCCAGCTCCATGGTGCCACTTATGACAGCTTCTCTGATATCCTGGCCCAGGCTTCCTTCAGAGCTAGATGGCCAGAGCACACTCCCAACCCCTGCTGTCCTCACCCTTCCACTGGACCATGTGCCAGTGAGAGCCTCATTCTCCATCTCCAAAATTCATTCATTTAAAATATAAGTAACCAAAAAGAAAAGAAGGGAGAGGGCCATTCCATCACCCCAAACACCAAATACCTCCCTCCCTCCCTGCCCCTTCTTTAGCTCCATTATTCATCTTTGCTCCTTAACCTGAGTGCAGCCAGCCACAGCAGCTGTCCACATATGCTCTGACTCTGTACAAGCACACGGCCACCGTGGATGGCAAGACCATTCTCGTGGGTGAGCAGCATAGGCCCAGGCCACACTGAGCCTCAAGGGGAAGGAAGTGGGAGAGGAAGAGAGGTTTGAGGAGGTCCATGGAGGGATTCAGGGAGGGAGGAAGGAACACACAGGGACACGGTGCCTCTAACCCCAGCATCAGGCCAGAAGCAGCATACAGAGGAAGGTTCAGACAGGCAGACGTTGGGATTCTGTGCCTGCCAAAGGAGAGAGGAACACAGAGGCCTTGACAAGGCAGTAGCTTTCCTCATTCAGGGTTTCTCCTTCAGCCAGTGTAAAGAAATAGCAAATGTGGCCTGAGCATCCTCTCCCATGCGGAGTTTGACCTTCCATGAGGTCATGGCCTCTTCCTTGGCCAGGCCACTCCTCCTGCCTGACTATTCACCACCTGTGTCCATGGCACTGGAATTTGAAACTTTGGAGAACCCTGCATCTTGAATGTGGGGATGAGGGGCACCTACCTTTCCTCTTGTGGGTCTTCCTGTCTGCATTATCCCTCCTCCAGGCCCCTGGCCCCGTGTCCCCTCGACACACACGCCAGTGTACACATACCTCTCAGCACACCCGGTGCGTGTCCTGAGGACATAGGGCACTGTCTGAAGTTTCTTCCTTCCCACGCGCCCCCCATGCACTTATACACGACACTTGCCACATGTGTGGTGTTTCTGCGTACAGATACCCGTGCAGAAATGTCTGGGGCCTGGGGGGTCTGCTCTCCAGCCCCATCAGGCAGTCAGAGTTGTGTTCATGTTACAGACTTTTGGGACACAGCAGGCCAGGAGCGCTTCCAGAGCATGCATGCCTCCTACTACCACAAGGCCCACGCCTGCATCATGGTATGAGACCAGCTGGGGAGTAGACAAAGGCTCTGGGCGGTTCTGCCCTGAGGGGGAAGGGGACAGGGGCTCAGCAGTCCTGGGCCCTCCCAACCAAGCTGGTTCCTGTGGGAGGGGGGATCGGAACCTCCTAGATGCTTCAGAGCACGCAGGCTTCCCGGAGTTTCAAGTGAGATTCGCCAGGTGAGCTTGCCTCAGGTGGGAATGGGTAAAGGAGAGGTGAAGAACTTCCAGGGTGAGCAGCACCCTCAGGGCTCCAGAAGCAGATCCGACAGAGACAGGGCCACAGCCCCTCGCTGGTGAGCACATTCCCTCCAAGAAGCTCCCAGTACCTCCGATGCTTCCCAGTGACCCTTCCCTCTCAAACCAGCCCTCATCTTGTTCCCAGTGTCCTCTCTGCTGTCTGGGTGTAGTGGACTCCACAGGAATACCCAAAGCAGCATGGAGGGACTAGTGAAAAGGGGCCACGAACACCTGTGTCCCCCAGGAGTGCTGCCTGTGGGTTCCCCGGCTCCTTCTCAGGTCACCATTCTTAGAGGCTAAAAAGGAGTGTGTTTTTATTTTGGGCCACTTATGAATTTTTTCACATTAGTTGTCTGTACACATGAAGTAATAGACTGCTCAGGGCACTTTGCTACTGAGCTACATCCCCAGCCTATTTATTTCTTTATTTATTACACAAGGTCTCACTAAGTTGCTTAGGGTCTCACTAGATTGCTGAGGCTGGCTTTGAACTTGTGATCCTCCTGCCTCAGCCACCCGAGCCACTGGGATTTCCAGTGTGTACCCAGCACCCAACTAAGCACATACCTAAACTCTACCACTAAGCCTCATTCCCAGCCCAATTGACTGGTTTTACACAAAATAAAAACTGGGGTGACACAAAACATCAGTTTTATACTGGGTCAAGAACCAATAATGTTTGGGGTCTCAGCTGAGAAGACCCCCTCCCCCAGCACCTCCACACACACTGGCAGCCAGCTGGACCACCAGCAGGTGCTGCTCCATGTGACTCCCAACACTGAACACCCAAGGGGAGCCTATTGAGAGTTCTCTTGCTGCAGTGGCCTCACCCTGCAGACCCCGTGCCTCGCTCTGGCTGCAGTCTCTCTGGTTAGAGCACTTGGGCGATATTGGTATTTGAAATCTGCCCTGCCTCCCGTAGCTTTTTGTACCACCCAGCCTTCCAGCCCTGCCTTCTACTTAGTGGCTACCTGTAGTATGCACAGACTCACCCTAAGCCTGAGTGGCTATCACTTACCCATAAGGAGCAGCAACAGAGGACACGCAGAAGGAGTTGGTCACCCTCCCTCTCCCTTCAGCTCCTCCCCAGTTCACAGCCACCCCTGATGTTGTCATTAGAGGTTCTCTTTCCCCTGGGCACCCACTTCTGGCACGTGGGCTCTGTGCTGTGCGCATGCAGGTGCCAGTGGGCAAAGACCCAATGCTGCTGCAGGAGCCTAGCAGCTGGCCACACTGTGGTGAGAACAGAGGAGTCTCCTCTCCTGCCCTCTGGTAAGAAAGGGCTTGTCACCAGACCCCTCCTGCAGTGCCTTAAGTACAGAACCTTTAGGATTTCCTAGAGTTTTAATCCTGATAACTAATGGTACTAAATAAGAATGGTGCGGTAAAGCAGATAGGAGCCAAAGTCTGTCTCTCAAGAACCCAGAAGTTTACTTCTAGCTGTTGAGAGCCACAAACAAGTCAAGATGGCGCCTGGCACTTTGCCAGGAGGAGTGATTTGAGAAGTAATGCCAGCGAGACATTAAGATGATGTTAATTGAGTTAAGCTGTGTATAATTATTAAGATGAAGTAACGCCAGCGAGCCATTAAGATGATAGAGATTCCTTATTGGCTAATTGCTGTATCTGGATGATGTTAATTGAAACAAGCTGTGTATAGTCAGTTAAGTGTATATATACCTCTGCTGTCCTACAGTAAGGCGGCTCCCGCTGTATCAACCTTCACAAGTTGCTTGTCACCCCCCCCCCCGGACTGCGGCACCTAGCCATCTCAGTTTCAGTCCTCTCACTTCTCTCTCTGGAAGTAGCCTTCTGCTTGTGCCACATCATTGGCTCCTCTCAGACCCTCTTCTAAGGGTGTTGGCCTGGGCTCCCACTCTGTGGCACATGCTCACACTTCACTGACTGGGTATTTTGAGTCACCTAGGTGGAGTTCAGAGATGTCGACATACCAGAACTGTCTTCTGTATCTTGCAGGTGTTTGATGTGCAGAGGAAAGTCACCTATAAAAACCTGAGTACCTGGTATGCAGAGCTTCGGGAATTCAGGCCAGAGATCCCATGCATCGTGGTAGCCAACAAAATTGATGGTGGGCCATCCCTGCACCTGGGTGACAGTGACGCATGGGACCCATCTCCATGTTTCCTCTCCTCTCCTAGGGCAGGCAGCTGTCAGCAATTTGTTCTCCCTTCCCAGTAAGGATGTCAGCTGAGCCATCCTTGCCCTCTTCCTAAGATACAGAGGATACAACCCTGATCATCTCTGCCCTACTTTGTGGCACAGGGCCCCCACTGACCCTCCAGTCCCCTCTCCTTTCCCCTGGACAGACAGGCCAATGCCCTACTTCTCTCTGCAGCAGATATAAATGTGACCCAAAAAAGCTTCAATTTTGCCAGGAAGTTCTCTCTGCCCCTGTACTTTGTTTCAGCTGCTGATGGTACCAATGTCGTGAAGGTAATGGGAGTCTACCAAAGCAATTCAATGACGGGGCTGGAAGAGTCAGGTGGCAGTCACAGGGAGGCTAGGAAGGAAAGGGATAAGAGGACAGGGCCAGTGAGTGTGCACATGTGACAGGGAAGGGAGGATGTGATGGCCTGGGCTTGATGAGGCACAAATGCATTGGCCTTGCATGGGTTGGGGTTAGGTGAATTTGAGGATGAGTTGGCCGATTGTCGGGTTGGGTTCATGGCCTTCCTGCCCACTGCCACACTGTTTCCATCTCCATCCCCTCCAGCTCTTCAATGATGCAATTCGATTAGCTGTATCTTACAAACAGAATTCCCAGGACTTCATGGACGAGGTTTTGCAGGAGCTTGAGGTAGGTCAGGCCAAGTTTTGAGTGGGATAGACAAAGCAGGCCTTCTTTCAAAGATGTGGAATATAACACAATATAGTGGCTTTTGATTGTCTTTAAATGTATCAGAACCACAGCTGGGCAAATGCAGGGCCAGGCCTCACCTGTGACCTTGTTCACAGAACTTCAAGTTGGAGCAGAAAGAGGAGGATGCACCTGACCAAGACCAGAGTAGCAGGATCGAAAACCCATCCCCCTCCTGACCAGAGGGCTGCCTCTCATGGCTGACTTGGGGATGTGTGGGGGAGCCTTTGAAAATACCCCTTCAGCTCTGAATAGAAAATCTCCTGGCCACCCCTGCTCAGCCTCCCATAAACTCGCCCTATAACATAGGATGAGATTAGCAATAGCATCCTGGACAGGTAGGAGGTCCCCCAGACCTGCTTGCAACAGAATTGGGGATTGGTGTCTTTCATACCTCCCATCCCACCCTGAGCCGGCCAGTGGAAGGAACCAGAAAACATAATTGTGTGTCTCTTCACAGTAAACACACATTTAGGTGTTTCTTGTTTTTTGTTTTTTCTTCCCCAAATTGACCTCAGGGAATGTACCTTGCATTTCTTACAAGAGAATGATTGCTATTCCCTGATTACCCCAGGCCCCCACTGCAAATGTGTAAGGCCTTGTCCTTTTTCCCCTCTAGTCTCCTCAGTCAACTTTTTAAAAGATGTGTTTGAACAGACAGCTATTCATTCCAAGTTTTTGAGCACCTAAAAATTTCAGGAGCTCTTGTAGGTCAGGCCAAAATCACAGGAACAGGTTTGCCATTAAAATTAAATGATAGCAGGTAACAAGTCTAGCCATACTTGGTCATATAAATACACAAAGGAAAGTAAACAGTACTGGCTGTAAACAGCCAGACCATGAGAATACCTATTTTGATTATAAGAAAGCAACTTTCAGAACTGCTCCCTTCGAAGCCTGTCTATCAGCTTGGGAGTTATTCCTTCATTTCTCCAGGACAAATGAGATCTTGTGCCTCCCAGGGGTGGCCGAGGACTGCAGAGGAAGAGCTGTTCAGCTGCCTTTGAGCCATACCCGTGTCCAAGGCTTGCTAGTGTGCTTTTAGGATCATCTTGGGCATCATTTGCATTGGGGTCTTTAATTTATTGTCTGTATTATTTCTGTTTTTACATTAAAGATTGAATTACCAAAAAAAAGTATACATGTGTGCTTTATGGATCTGAGCAAAAAGACAAAACATATTGTCAACCAATGAATGAGGGGAGTCTGCCTTGGTCTGCCATGTCAACTTTTGACCAACTGTGAAGGAGACCATTTCAGTGGAATGCGGTATTTTAAAAAGAATAGGTATTGATTTGGGAGCTTGAGAATAAACGTGTTTCCCCTTTAAGTAATTTGTACATGTTCAACTTAGATTTCAACTGCTCAGGAGTTTTCATGAGGTGGAATTTTTTTATTATTTATTATAAATGACTAATAATTTGAGGGCTGGTTCGTTTTTCGCTGTGCTGGGGAACAAATTCAGGGCTACAAACTTCTTGTTGAGGTAGACTTCAAAATTGATTCACTGTCAATATTGACTTTATGAAGCTGCTTTGTATCGGGCTTTCCAGAAGCAGACCCTGGGAGGGCAATTGCTCAATGGCTCACCAGGGCGATTCTCTCAGAAACAAGGGAGAGGAGGGGGAGGTTGGGAGGCAAGAAGCTGAGCGAGGTTGTGGTCTCAGTGGAGGCCAGCTTCAACCCTCCTCCCATCCTGGGGAAGCACTGCGGGCCAGACTCCCTCGGAATTGGTCCTGCCTCAAGGCCAGGCTCTCCTGAGCCAGCCAGCCAGTCTCCAGGGCAAGTGGTTCCTGTTTGAGTTAGGGCCCCTCTCTGAGGAAAGGGCAGCTGTGGGTTTTATCCGTCAGTGCCGAGTACCCATCCTCAGCCACTCACCCTCTGTTGCTTCTTAGGCAGTTCACGTCATCCAGGCCCAGCTTCCCCAACATCCGACCAGTCCTAACTTCTGGGAAATGTACAAGCGGAGAGTCAGGGAAACCAGAGCCCTGCTGCTGCAGTTGGACCCTCTTGAAGAGAGCAACATCCTCTCCCTTTCCCACCACCACCCTCTGGCTAGCACTTCTGCCAGTCTAGGTGGTTTGCCTTGTATGGATCCTGCTCCTCTTGACTGAGGGGCCTAAGCCATTTTGAGACAGTAGTTGCACTTAGAGCTGGATATGTGAGTACCAAGGTCGCAGGGTCACATGAGTACAGGTGCATGCCATCTGCCTCCATTATATAGCAACATCCTTCCTCCGGGTGAAGATTGGTGACCTCCTTCCAGAACACTAACTCCTTTCTCTGCTTGCCAGTTTCCTAGCACGTTCAGTGTTGAGGAAGCAGCTCTGCCTTTATGTTGTGATACTCTGTCACTTGATGGAAATCACCTCCCTACCAACTGCCTACAGTTGCAGACCAGAACCACAGATTCCCTGGGTGTGTCATTAAGAGATGGTGAGCAGGGCTCTCCCATCTCCATCCCTGGCTACTAGATGCAGGATACGAAATCCTACACAGATCGTTGAGTTGCATACCACATTCTGAAGGGCCTGTTGTGGTTAGAATAGAAGATGTCCCCAAAGCTTGTGTGAGAGAAAATGCAAGAATGGGTCAGGAGAACCTTAACCTAATCAGTGGATTAAATGGGTGGTAACTGCAGGCAGGTAGGTGTGACTGAAGGAGGTGGCTCACTGGGAGGATGCCTTTAGGGTATATATTTTGTCCCTTGTGAGAGAGCTCTCTGTGCTTCCTGAACTGGTTTCCTCTATCATCCCCTTCTGCCTTGATATTCTGCCTCCTCTCAGGCCAAGAGTAATGCAATTGGCCATCTATGGGCTGACTCCTCTGAAATAGTAGGCCCAAATAAACTTTCCCTCCTCTAAAATTGTTGTCAGGTCTTTCGGTCATAATGGCAGAAAAGCTGACTAAAACACTTTGTATTTACTTATTTATCAACTGACAGGTAATTTTATATATTTACAGTTCTGCAGACTACTGTGCACCTGACCTCTTTGGTCTTGCTCTTCTCAGGCCCCCTAACAACCAGCTGAGCCTAAAAATCTAGGAATACCCTAACTCAAGCCACTTCCCTCTACACAGTGCATGGCCTCTTGCATTGCCAAAAGCTCTGACTATGGGGAAGATTTCCCCTTACCATCATCTTTCAGAATCATCATCCCGAAGGGCATAGCAGTCCATTTGTGGCAGTTACATACTGAGCTAACAGACCAGTAAATCTCTAAATTTTACCAATGTGGCAGGCTCCAGAATATTTGTAGGGCTGACCTTCCACCCTCTGGAGTACACACAGCTTATCAAGGCATCTGGAATAATTAGATCCCCAGGCCCCATTATGCAGCTATCAATATAGTGATGTTCTATGGGAGATCAAGGTGGTCCAGTTACCTTCAGAGTGTGTTATAAAAGAGCAGCAGAATTATCATAGCCTCGGGCAGAGCCAAGAACATGCACAATTACACAGCTCTTGATCCTAAGTGAATGCAACCGCTTGTCCTTTCTGGAAAATAATGCATTTTTGGAGAGCAATAATCACAGTCCATATTTCCAAGTTTCTATTATTCCACTCCAGTAAAGACACCAAATCCTGCACAACAGCTGTAATGAGGCTACTTCTTTGTTAAGTTTTAGGGAGTCTACTCTCATCCTCTATGAGTCAACCACTTCTGGTAGGGGTCAAATTACATGAATAAATTATATATATAAAATTCTACTACCCATAAATCATTTTTAAATAATTCACATAAAATTTAAAAATTCATATAGCATTAAATCAAAAGTTCCATGCATATAACACAGTCACAATATTGTATCACCATCACCTCTGATTCCAAAATATTTCCATCACTTCAAAATGAACACCTTACTATTTAATCTGTGTTCTGTCTCTGTGGATTTGTATATTCTGGTTATTTCATATAAAAGGGATCACACAATGTGTGACTTTTCGTATCTGGCTTATTCCACTTAGCACACTGCTTTCTTTTCTTCTTTTTTTTTTTTTAGAGAGAGAGAGAGAAGAGAGAGAATTTTTAATATTTATTATTTTTAATATTTATTTTTTAGTTTTCGGCGGACACAACATTTGTATGTGGTGCTGAGGATCGAACCCGGGCCGCACGCATGCCAGGCGAGCGCGCTACCGCTTGAGCCACATCCCCAGCCCCTAGCACACTGATTTCAAGATTCACCCACATAACATGTTCTTCCTTCCTTTTTGTGTCTGGTTCATATCCTATCATATAACAATGTGTTATAGGATTTATCTATTCATCTGTTGGTGGACATTTGAGCTGTTTCCAATCTTTATCTATTAAAAATAGTGGTGCTAAGAACACCCATGAACATGGACTTGCATGAGTACCAGAGTTCAGTTCCTTCAGGTGTCTTAGTCTACTCATTCTATTACAACAAAATATCACAAACTGGTGGCTAACAATAGAAACTTATTTTTCTCACAGTTCTGGAGGCTGAGAAGTCTTGAGATCAAGGTACCAACAAGGTAGGCGTCATTCTGAGGCCTCTTCTCCTGGCTGGTAGCACTCCTATGTGCTCATGATCTCTGTTCATGCAAGCAAAGAGAGAGATCCTCCCTCTTCCTCTCTTCAGAAGGCCACACATTCTGTTGGATGAGGACCGCCTGTGATCTCCTTACCCTTATTGCCTCTGAAAGGCCCATCTCAAAATATTGTTACCTTGGGAGTTAAGCTTCATTCTATGAATTTGGGAAGGAGTAGGGGACACAATTAAGTCTATAGCAAGATGTGTACCTAGGAATGGAATTACTGCTGGGGTTGTGGCTCAGCGGTAGAGCACTCACCTAGCACGTATGGGGCCCTGGGTTCGATCCTCAGCACCACAGAAGAATAGATAGAATAAAGGTATTCTCACTACAACTAAAAACATATTAGAAAAAAAAGAATGGAATTACCAGGTCATGTGATAATTCTATATTTAGCCTTGTGAGAAACTGCCAAACTGCTTTGTGTAGTGGAACCACCATTTCAAAGTCCCAACAGGCATTTACTTTTACAGAGCCTCTCTGTGGTTCCATGCCCCATTGGTGTGTATGTGCTGGTGTTTTACCATGAACATTACAGTTCTAACACTGCTGTTTTGCCCTTTCACATGTGTCTTTATTCGCTTTATGTTCATCATAAGAGAAACTTCCTTGTGGTAGGTACATTTTAGAAAGTTTTGAGTTTTTAATTAACATATGAAGTTTTTTAAATCTTGATTTTTTTCTATGGATCTTTTTTCTATAACATGATGGGTTTAATTTAACAGGTGAAACAACGTGTTAACTATATGATATAGTTCATACATATTTAATTCATAGTTGTTTGAACATGTTTTAATTTTTAAATATACCTAAGATGTGACAATACACTAATATATAGTATTGAGCAGTGACATATCAGAAAAAGATGAAAAAATAAGGAGATTTTCATCAGTGGACATTCATTATTTTGCTTTTTGGAACATGGGTCTTCTTTGAGTTTTGAATATGCTGGTGAATCTAATTTCTTAACTTCCTCAATATCACCAGGAATTGTTGGAATAAGTGACTCTAAATAGAAAAGTATTTTTCTGGCCTAAAGTAGCCAATGATGACCACACTGAGGATTTCAGATTCCTCTTGGAGGGTCTGCACTGTGAGTTTCCATGGGCCTCTTCACGGTCTCATGGCATAGCTCCACACCATGCTCACTTTCAACACAGGGCCAAAGCTCAGTCAACGATGGTGGATGCATCTGCTGGAAGATTACCTGCGACTTATTTGAGAAAGGAAGAATACACCCCGCTGCCTGGAGCTGCATGACTCGCTGCAGAACTTATCAGGGCCCCATGAGGCCACCCCCACAGGTCCTCTGCTATCTGCAAGCCTGGATGCCAGCAGAAGTCCAGCTAGTTGCCACTGTGGGTATACTATCTTGTACTTTCCATCACTTATTTCTTTATGCCTGCATTCTTTTGTGTTTAGTTGATTTTTTGTGGTATAACTTTTTTCAATTATTTTATGGTACTAATATATAAATAACACAAGGTTTACTGTTTTTAAGCATAAAATTTAATGGCATTAGCTACACCCATGATTTTCTGTAACCATCTACCACTCTCTATTTCATAACTTTTTCAT